TTGGTCAGATATAACTTGCCAAAAGGGAACCTCCACAAGGTTAGGCTTAGGGAAGTGCTTTTGTTTTTGTCTTTCAGGAGAATGAAGGCTAAGAAATCTCAAGAACACTGGACAAATGAGACATCTTAAGAAAAAGGGCAAATCATCTAGAAAAAAATGTTCCAAGAAAAAGAGTAAACTGACCTATTGGTACATCACATATAAAATTTCATAAATCTTCCTAAACGTTTGTTTCTGGTCTTCTTTACAGAAAGTTCACACAAATGGTCTTTTTGTAGTCCTAGTTCAATTAAAAATTAAAGCTGGCTTTGGAGTTGGAGAATGGCTCTCTCCTTCTCTAAACCAAAGCTTGTTATTAAAAGGAAAATGCAAAATCTATCATGTCAGATGAAAGAGCCATCTCATATGGGACAGAATAATATCAAAAAAATTAAGGGACTATTCTCAATTCTTTGGTTCTATTTTGATTCTTTAAACTTTTCTTAAGGTATGAATTTTATATCAAAATTTATGATATATATATATATATATATATATATATATGAAACTTTCATTATGATATTAATGGTCATATAGAGTACTAACTAATTCTAGAATAAAGGCTTCATGTAGCTGCCTATACATGTTTTTGTGTTGGAGTCTCTATCAGTTTTCTGCAGGGAATCACAACCAGGCCTAACATTAGATTTGAAGTCTCCAGAAAGATGATGGTGCCCCACAACTATGGTGATATTTTATCTGTACTGAAATGTGATTTTATTTGTATGTTAATAAATAAAGTTCCCTGGGGGTTAGAGCTAATAGCAAGCCATAACTAGAGCCGGGCGGTGGTGGTGCATACCTTTAATCCTGATCACATGACAGGCAGATCTCTGTGTGTTCAAGGATACAGCCAGCATGGAGACACACACCTTTAATCTCAATACCAACCATAGAAGACCTGGAGGTCTGTATAGAAAGGCAGTGACAAGCAGGTCATGTGGTTGGGTTTACAACCAATGAGAAGGCAGAACAGAAAGTCAATAAAAAGACAGATACACAGGAAGTAGCTCTCTTTTGGAGGGGAAGGACAGCAGTGGCAGGAAGGGTAAGAAAGGGTTTTTAGTCTCAGCTCTTAGCTACTGCTCTGACCTCTTGGGCTTTTAACTCTGCATTTGGCTCTGTGTTTCTTATTTAATAAGACTGTTACATCTACAAGCAACAACAATTCCACATTGACAATAATTATACCACTAAGCTGACAAACATCTACCACAGATCAGCATTGGACTACAAACTGCTCAGAACAATTACAAGATGGCTAGCTGAGATGATCCAATTTCACAGAATACTTGAACAAGGACTTGAGATAAGTCCTGAACGTTGGCATTATGCAGAGACTGTACAACAAATGATATAGCTACCTTTCCTAGAACTTGACAATTAACTCAAAATTTTTCTTTTCAGAATCCCCCAATGATGCCTTCACCCACAAACAGCAGGAAGCAATTTTAAGAACTTGACGCCCACATTCCCAAAGAAGTGGTGCGGGGCAGGTGGTTTTTGGTCTTTCAATGTGTTTTGGGTTTAGGATAATTTTCATTGTTTAGGAGGGTTGGTTACAAGTTGTTGTTGTTACTGATTAGGAAAAGGGCTAAACAAAGAAGATTAGATTTAAGGTTCTTGTTTGAAAAAAATATAGAGAAATGATAGAATAGAGGGTAGATCATTGAATCTACTCTGAAAAGAAAAGAGAGGATATAGATATGATATAGATAAGAAGGTAGAATATTGAATTTACTTTAAAAAAGACAATTACTAGTTTTAAATACTTTACATTGGATTGGATTTTCATATATTATATATAAATTATATATATTGAGATTGTTGTTGTTAGAAAATGCTGTAAGTGTATTTCTAATCTTGTTCAGAATATTGTACTTAGTTCATTTAACAATGTAATGCAATTTGCTAATGTTATTATTACCAACTACTAGGATATAAAGAAATGAAAGTTAGTAGTTAAATATTACAATCAAATTTGTAGTCTTATTAGGTATGTTTTCAAGGCTAACCAGAGATATATTTTAGATAGACAGGTCATCTTTAAACCCTTCAGAGATCTACAGAATATGGCATTTAAAATGTTTTAATAACTTAGAATTTTATTCTTTTTTTCATGACAATGAGACATGGCAGCAGCTGGCAGCATCTCTTCTGTTCTGCCTTTCTCCTTCCTATTCTCTAGTTAGAATGTCCCACCTAACCCTATTCTGCTTCACCATTGGCCAGTTTTATTTATCAAACAATCAGAGCAACATATTTTCACAGCTTACAAAAAGACACTTCCATCAAAAACCTGTCTCAAAAAAATTAAAAAAATGCAACATAAGGTTACCAATGGTTAAAAACATCCTTAAATGTACAGTTAAATGACATTAATCATATTGTTTTATAATTATTAATATCATCCATTCCAGAAATTTCATCTTCTCAAATAGAAACTCTGTTCCTATTAAATAGTAACTGGCCACCATATACCTAATAATTCATGGCAAAAAGCATACTACTTTGTACTATTCTAGCTACTTGATGTAAATGGAAAACATACAGTATTTATCATTTTGTTTCTGGCCTATTCCATTCAACATAATATCTTGAAGGTTTATCTATGTTGTAGCATATGTCAGAATTTTCCTCCTATTATAAGGCAAGTACATTTACCCTCTGAGCCAACTCTCCAGTCTTTATCATTTTATTTTTAACATCTACTAACCTCCTCTGGTGTAAGGTATCCTGCCTGGCCCTCAGAATTCTAGGCAATTTAATAGGCTGTGGAAGAGGCACAATCCTTGGCAAGGCACCTAGGATATGAAGACAACTTAGGCACAGTGCCTAGATATGAGGATTAATTAATTTGTGGTGTAATCAAGGGGGTAAAGACCTATAAATAACAAGGGTAATACATTACTGCAAGGGCTTTTGCATGTGCATTGGGTATAGTGAGGACAGAAAGGAAGGAATGAACAATCTTAGAATGAGGCCGAGGACCGTATAAAGGAGTAAAGTCACCTACAATGCAGTCATGATGGAGGTCTCATTTGAATGGCAGGGAGACACCTGCTCCTTAATATATCCATGAATGTGCTATAATCAGTGAGAAAGAGTGATGGGCACTTGGAGAACTGTAAGTGGGTGGTTAGGGTTCATACTCAGGGAATGAGTGAAGAGGAGGAAGTTGAGAGGTGAGACTAGAGAGCTGAGCTAGGGACACATTGAGGAACACACTGAGTTCATACTGGGCAGTGACAACATTAGACATGTTTCTTGGAATGCTCCATTGGTTACAAGGAGATGACAGGAAGCAAGGGGACAGACTTCAAAAAAGCTACTTAGGAGACTTTCTAAAAGGGATGAATATACCAAAATTAAGGGAGAAGTGGTGGTGATATAAACAGAATGATAGATCTGAAGATGGGCTCATAGTTTTGGCACTGGCTGAGATCATTAAAAGATTAAGCATACAGAAAAGATAAGTAATCTCAGGACTGAGCCCTAGAGCACCACAATGAGTTTGGAGAGATGGTGGGCCCAAACTAGAAAAAAATGCAAATGACTGTAGAACCACAGCCTAGTGAAAAAATGCACTCCTGAAAGAAGGAAATAACAACACAAATGCTCAGGCTAAGTAAGGGAAGAGTTTGGCAAAATGGCTGTGATAAGACCAGTTGTGATAGATGAGTGTAAGAAGGAAGTCTAGTTGAAGTGGGGTCAAGACAGACAAAAAAGAGAAAGGCAGTGGTAAATACATATGCATAAACTAGTTCTGATGAGTGTTCTAATAAAGGAAGGCAGATAACTGCAATGATAGCTGGAGGATATCATGAAGTCAAAAGGGTACTTTAGGGTATATCAGCATATTTATATAGCAATGGGAACAGAAGTAGGATAGAAATAAATCAGCTAGAAAGTTCTACAATAATGTTCGAGAAACAGATGATAAAAGCAGGCAATAGCAGGTACTAGTTTGATGAACTCAGAGGCTCATTCATGGAAACTACAAGCAATGTGGAGAACAGAGATTCGGCAAGTACTGGTTGCAGACCTGAAGCCCTATTCACATACTGGCTCAGCTGTGTGACCAACAGCCCAAGAGACTTTGCAGAATAGAATTCACTGCAAGTTTAAGTCACACACAAATGGCTGCTCCAAAATTCCCACCAAATGACCCATCAATTCACTCAGGTATATACTGCGAACTGAAAGCAGAAGTTTCCAGGCTGAATGACACGCCCAAAGCCCCAGTACTTTATAATGTGACTGTATTTGGAGGCAGGACTTTTAAAGCAGTCACTAAAGTTCTGGCCCAATATGACTGCTGTCTTTAAAGATACCAAGGAAATGTTCACCAAGGAAAGGCCATGTGGGAAGAGGCAAGAAGAGGATGACATGGCCATCTACAAACCAAGAAGAGAGACTTCAGGAGAGACCAACCCTACTGGAACTTGATTTTGAACTTCTAACCTCCATAACAGTGAGAAAATATACATTTGTGGTTTGTGTTACCCAGTCTGTGGTACTTTGTTATGGAAAAACTCATATATCCACACAGAATTAACTAATTGTAGGTATCTCATTGGACTTTATAGAAGCAGATTAGGAGTCTGGGGGCTGAAGGGAAAGGGAATGGCTTCCATTTGGGATGACAAATAGGTCTGGGGACTAGAAAAAAGTAATGGTTACAAAGCATTGTGAATGTAGTCTAGGACACTGTATTGAGCACTTTAAAGTGGTTAATTCTGTGTTAAATGGATTTGACTTCATTTTAAAAGAAAGGTGTAACTATACAAAATAATCTCTATCAGGAATATACAATATGGAGGTCCTTGGTATTTTATTATGGAAATTTAGGTCTGGTGCAAAGGAAAAAGCCTGTTTATGTGTGTAAATATATGTTACCAAATGCCAGGTACATGTATGTGGGATAGCAAAACAGTTAAACATAAACCAGATCAACATACCAGTGCAAATCTGTGTCCAAAGCTTATCCACTCCTTTTCTATGAGAGCCTCAAATCCTTTAATGGTCCGGTAGTAACTGTCCAACATCAGCATTGCCAGAGATGTGAGCTGGGATGTTCGGTCCCACCCATCACTGCAGTGGATCACCACAGACGTTTTCCCAGATTCTATTTTATCAGCAATTCTTACTGCCCCAGCAAGCAGCACCTTCAGAAAAGAAGGTAAAATAGACAAGGCTTCATTAAGTGTTAACCTCTGTATAAAATCATTCTGTGAAAAAGTTTGGATGTTCCAGCCTATAAACAATATAAGAATGCTATCTAGGGCTGAGTCTCTACTTCAGTGAGTCCCTAGGCTCCAGCCCCAGTAAACCAAAACAAAAGACAACACAAAACAAATAAACAACAACAAAAACTACAAAATTAATTAAGAATCACTAGGAAGTGTTAGCATCATATTTTTTTTAAACTATGAAAAACAAAGTAAATGGTGTCCTTTATTGAAGGGTCGTAAGGTTCTGTTAAAAACCTGACTTACTAGGTGTGGCGCACACCTGTAATCCCAGCATTTGGGAGGCAAATTCAGACTAGTCTCAGTTATGTAGTGAGTTTAAAACCATCCCAGGCTACACAGAAAGACTCTGTTATTAAAAAAAATAAAGAAACTTTGGGCTGGAAAGATGGCACAGCAGTTAAGAGCGCATACTGGCTGGGCAGTGGTGGCTCATGCCTTTAATCCCAGCACTCGGGAGGCAGAGGCAGGTGGATCTCTGTGAGTTCGAGGTCAGCTTGGTCTACAGAGTGAGATCCAGGCCAGGCACCAAAACTACACAGAGAAACCCTGTCTCGAAAAAACAAAAAACAACAACAACAACAAAAAAACTATATCCTACAGTTAGAACACCACCCAATTTCTTCACTGGGCAGTGGTGGCACACGCCTTTAATCCCAGCACGCAGGAGGCAGAAGCAGGTAGATCTTTGTGAGTTCGAGGCCAGCCTGGTCTACAGAACGAGATCCAGGACAGCCAAGGCTACACAGATAAACCCTGTCTCGAAAAACCAAAAAAAAAAAAAAAAAAAAACTGCATACTCTTGCAGTGTTTGGTTCCTGGAACTTAAGTCAGGCAGCTCACAAACATTTGCATCTGTAAATCCACCTTCAGGGAATCCAATATAGTCTTCTGGCCTCTGTAGGTACAGATGCTCACATGTGCACATACCAACGCCCCCCCCCATATATATATATATAATTAATTAAAAATAAGACCAAATCTTTTTTTTTTTTTTTGGTTTTTCGAGACAGGGTTTCTCTGTGTAGCTTTGCGACTTTCCTGGAACTCGCTTTGGAGACCAGGCTGGCCTCAAACTCACAGAGATCCACCTGTCTCTGCCTCCCGAGTGCTGGGATTAAAGGCGTGTGCCACCACTGCCCAACTAGACCAAATCTTAAAATAAAAAAAAAAAACAAGGAAGGTGGTGGAGTCAGGAGGATCAGAAGATCAAGAGAACTTCAGCTAAACAGTAAATCTGGAGGCTAGCCTGGGCTACCTGAGACTCTGTCTCAAAGTTAATTATTTTTAATTAATAATTAAAACACTGTGTATTTTTGTCATAAAATCAATCCACAAAGACCATAGTCCAACTGTTTCTAAGAGGAATGCTCAAAAGCTCTCATATATAGCCAAGATGCATTCATTTGTGGTATGGAAAAACTACTTTGAAATAGAAATATTTATGACAGATGTTACATGTCTAAATTGGAAAGCAGATAAAAGATTGAACTAATTTACCCTTATATATTCCAGCCAATGTGTCCCATCCACATTGGATAGCCACCGTGACTCATCAATGGAAGGGTACACGATCTCCTTTAATTTACGCAGTGACTCCCTCATCACATGAATATTGTGGATCTCCAAAAACACAAGTTCTGCATTAGGGTAAGCACTTTCACTTTCATATCCTCCACCCTTTGCCTATAAAAAAAGCAAAAGCTATGCATCACTTCTGAAATTAACTTTTCTACTGTTTCTACTGTAACCAGACATAGACCACTAAAGAAGCAATAAACTCCTATACCCTTGTATGGTTGCCCTACAACTGTAAGAACACAACAGGGTACCATGGACTGGCAGCACAAAACAGAAATGCGTCTTCTCAATGCAGTGCACCATCACCACCACCAAATCTAAGTTCTCGAGGCCAGAAGGCTGAAATACAGGTGCCACAGGGTCAGCCTCCCTTGGAAGCCTCTAGAAGAATGTGCTACTTACTTTTCTCATTGCTGTGACAAAGTATCTGGCAAAAAGTACTTAAGGAAGCAAAGTGGCTCACAGTCTGAGAGGACATAGTCCATTACAGCAGAGAAAGAATAGTGATAGATGTGAGAGGTAGCTGGTCACATTGATGGTCACTTTCTCCATTTTATTCAGCCCAGGACCCCAGCCTAAGGGATGGGGCTGTCCACATTCAGGGTGAGTCTTCCCTTCTTAGTTGAACCTTCCTGGTATCACTCTCAAAGTCATACCCAGAGTGTGTCTACATGATTCTAAATCCCATCGATTGATGATCAAGACTAACAACCACAGGGCATACTTATAATTCATTGGCTTTCCTGTTTCCTAGAAACCCTAAGCATTCTAGGTTTATACACTTATTGCCTTAATCTCTACTTCCATATTTGCATTTGATCTTCTCCCCTTTGTCTCTGCTTCTGTTGTCCTTATAAAAAAAAAATACCTGTTGGGCTAGCAAGATGGCTTAGCAGAGAAGGCACTTGTCACCAAGCCTGGCAACCTGAGTTTTATTGATACCTAGGACCTATATGGTAAAAAGAGAGAACCAAATCCTGCAAAGTTGTCTTTTGGCCTGTACATATGAGCATGCACACAAATAAATATAATAAAAAAGCAAGTCTGTCATGCTGAATTAAGGCCCATCCTAATCTGTCTTTGGTTTAACTTGATTACATTTATAAGGAATCTTTCAAAATATACTTTCATAAGTACTAGGAGTCAGGACTTCAATGCATCCTTTTATTGAGGATACAATTTAAGCCTTAATAATCCTCCTTTACCCATTATGGTTTTTAAGTCAGTACCAACTGGCTCTTACTGAAATTCCTTCTGCTACCAAGAAAATGCCATACTACCATAAAATTTCTGCATAATAAAACAGTTTGGCGTTCTGAAACCACAAAATTTATCTTAACAATTTAATAAGAGAAAATAAATGTAACAAAAAAGAAGATAAGAATTACCTCTTAGTGAGCTTATTAAAAAAAAAAAACATGGTTTGTAGCTAGCTTACATTTTATAGAGGTCAGTATTCAAAACACATTTAGATGAGAGTGCAGAGAAACTGGTGGGAATGTAAAAAGCTTCAACTGCTGTGGAAGACATTTTGATAGTTCATTGAAAGTTACACAAAGAATTCCCATATCGTCCAGTCACTATGAACATTTGTATGCAAGTTTTATTTAAATACCTGTTCTGAGTTCTTTGGCTTATATACCCATGAATATAAGAGTGGTATCACAATATCCAATAGTTATAAGCAATTTAAATATCCATAAACAGATAGATAGGCAAACAGAATGTAGTCTCTCTATATAATGGAATATTATTCACCCATAAAAAGGAATGGAGTACAGACGCTACAAAATGGATTAATTTTTAAAATGAGTGAAAGAAGACAGACACAAAGGAGTATTTTAATGTATGAATTCATTTTAATGAAGTGTCCAGTTTAGGGGAATCTCTACAAATAAAATAATATTAATTGGTACCAGAGGCTGGGAAAAGGGAATGGGGACTGGCAGCAAATGGGTACAGAGTTTCTATTTGGGGTGATGGATTCAGACAGTAGTGCTACTTTTATAGTACTGTGAATATATTGGAAGTCATTGAAGTGTAAACTAAGGAGTTTTGTGTTACTTGAATTTTATCTTGATAAAACATATATGTAATACAAAGACAGGCTTTTAATTTAGGCTGCAACCAACTATCCAGTGTATACAAATGTCCTGTCCTAGCTTAGTACTGGGAGAATAATGAGTAAGTGGAGACTCTGGTCTTTTAGGCTCTCCAAGTATGGTGGGGTATGGGAGACCAGCTCCCACTTTTCCCTGGGGTACTCTTGAGGAGAGAAGGATTAGAGATATCAGATAGAAGGGTAGAGGGAAGAGAAACAGATAGAAACACAGGATAGCCTCAGGAGGACCTGGATCATTATCCACTGGCCCCTCCTGTCTCTTCTAAAGGGCTATTTAAAGGAATGCCAAGGGATGGAACAAAAGACCTCCCCCTAGCACAGCCAAGTGCAGACCCTTCCAATCACCTGGTAATCACACACGTGGTCAAGCAATCCTCTAATGCAGCCCCGGTGAGTAAAGCAAGCTCAGACATCAGTAGGAAACCTTTGTGGGCCTCCACAACTACCCCTTCTTGATATAATAAAGCCCCCCCCCAGGCCCCTCAGATAGACTGTGCCTGTCTTAGGTCATCCTTCTTGAATAATCTTCCTTACCTGTCATAAAGATATACTTTGCATCAAGCATACTCTTCGAGCATACTCTGGCTTAGGTTGGAAGCTATCAAGAAGAAAATTGCCCATCTTTGACTACCAGCCTCTGGCAGGAGTGGGTACAGAGCTTAACTCAGCTCCAACACAGGTGCCTACAAAGAGCTTGCAAATAGCTACAGTGATCTTCACAGCCGCCACACCTCCCAGTAAAGGAGTAGAGGATAATAAAAATGGAATGTCCATATTGGAATGGGTCTAAGGTGACTACAGCAGTCTTAGCTGCACCAAGCCCTTTTCTAAATCAAAACCCTCTCCTAACAGATGTTTAATAAAATTTTCAAGAGACTATTGTGATTCCCAGGAGAAAACAGTCATTTCAAAACACTCCAAAGTATCCACTCAAGTAAACAAAAACCCCATACTAATTATAAAAACACTTTTAGCTGTTTAAGTAGCTGATATATACATGTGTTCCTTCCACAGCAGTAGAATTTCTGTACAAACTAACTCAGTTGTGGGAGGCCTACCCTTTTCTAAACAGGAACAGATGAGGAGTGGAAACTTTTAGGAAGAAGACAGAAAAGCTCCCCTAATTATGACATCTTTGCTTAAGTTTTCCAGGGGCCATTGAGATCATAAAATTATATCTTGGGCTACCATAAAAAGTGTTCAGAGTAATAAAAACTTCAAGATGCTTCTAATGTGATTGATTTGGTTTATCCTTTAAAAATTAATGTTACCTAATTTGTCTGGACTAGACAGATATTGATGGAGTAATAAAAACAATTCTAATATGAACTTACATTCAACATTTACACTTTTTACAAACCTATATTCAAAAAGAAAACTCTATAGGACTATTTTACAAACTTTAGCACATATCTAGAAAAGATCTCTTAACATCACTATATATATTTACAACTAACATGAATATCACTATACTTTATAATTTTTACAAACATATTCAAAAGGAAATTCTATAGAACTATTTTACAAACTTTAGCAAATATCTAGAAGAGATTTCTTAAAAGAACTATTTATATTATTTTCCAACAAGACAAAGAGAGTTCGCAAATCATGAGTAATTAATTACTGTACTGAGCTGCTATAAAGCTCTTAGAAAAAACTTCCTGTGCAGCTATTAGGCCTCTGGAGGAGCGTCACTGGAGCTGACATTCCTCTGTTCCACACTCTTCACCAAAGTCAGACAGCCAGCAAGCTTCTGAGGGTACAATTTCCCCTTTCTTAATTTTTTGAAGCTGCATCTTAAGATTGCCATGAGTTCTTTTAACGATGCCAATGTTTCTCTATGGACTACATTTTCCAAGCTGCCTTTCTCTATATTGTCACTACATTCCCCAGGTTGGCTTTCTGGGTCTGGAAGAAAACTCAGCTGCAGCCAATGGTGGCCATTACTCTCTCAGTTTCATTCATGTGGTCAAAATCAAGTTTTTGCTCTTTTATCATGGGAGGTTTTTGAGTCAATATTAAGCTTTTCACCTGGCACTGTCCCTGGAATGGGTTGTGCTTGTCCACGCGCATTCAGACACGTGCTTGTTGCCAGAAGTGAAAACTTTTTGGTGCTTCACTGGGTCAGTGAAAGGATTGAGAGCTTTTTCAGAGAGATTTTTTTCCCTGATATATCTTCTACTTGGCCCTGATTTTCCCTTCCCCTAAGATGCAGAGTCCCTGATACCTCGGCCATTGCTCCAACCCTCTGTTTTCTGTTCTGGGGGTAGGGGCTTATGTCTCCTGCAACCAACTATCCAGTATGTACAAATGTCCTGCCCTAGCTTATACTGTAATGAGTAAGTGGAGGCTCTGGTCTTTTAGACTCTCCAAGTCTGGTGGGGTGGGCAGAGGAGATCATGATCAAGGGCAGCACAGGGCTGAGGGTCCTCTGTTCTAGGACAGACAGTTCAGGAGGTGGCAGGTACCTGGACAGCCAAAAAGGAAAGAGGCACAAATTAGAGAGTACAGAAAAGAACACCTAAGACAAATAGGGCACAGAGCTTGGTAAAGACATGGCTTCCTGAAATGAAGGTATGCTCTGCACAGAGCATACCAGGACACAGTAAGAATGATGAATGATGAGGTCAGAGAGCATGCAGGGAGTAGGTGGCATGAGTGAAGAGGGCCATACAGTAGAGAAATGGGGTTATACTGGGAAGGGCCTAACAGGGTGAGACACTCTGTAGGTCGATTAAGCGCAGAGATGCAATCTGGCTGAAGGAAGTAGGGCCTATATGGACATGTGATTTGAGAGAAAGCACACAGCGGTGATTTGGAACAGTGGGAGTGGGTAGGGCAAGTGATACCTATGATTCTCAGCTAGGCTACCTGAGAGATGGTAGCATCATTTATTGAGAGTCTACAGGAGAAGGAACATATTCTATAGGGAAGCTTGTTTGCTTTTGAGTACAGCAAAGACCAAATGACTCTGTGACAAAACTCAGCTGGAGACTTTTATAGGCCATGGGATACAACTGGAACTCAGAAGAAGTATGAACTGTGAACATAAATGTGGAATATTTGTCATATGGATGGGTGACAAGGGAAGACAGAAACATGCTGCATGGTGTTCCAGGAAAATGTGTAATGTAAAGAGTAGGCCAGAAGTATGAGGAAGATCAGTATTTAAGGAAAACAATGAAGAGTGGGGAGAGGGGTAGAGAAGGAGAGCAGGAGGGAGATAAGATAGAAGAGAAGAGAGGAGATAATACAATAGGCTGAAAAGTGTCTCCCATTGAAGACACAATAAATCCCTGCCAACTGTGAATGCAACCTTATTTGAAAAACAAAACAAGTCTTTGAAAATGTGATTAAAGACCATAAGCTGGAGGGATAATCCTGGATTACCTCAAGTGGACCCTGAAGGCCATTACAATATCCTTAGAAGAAAGAGGAAGGTGAGACAAAGAAGCACACACAGTAGGAGGAAGCGAAATGAAAATGAGGTAGATTGCAGTGTGTAGCTACAAGCTCAAGAGTGATGTTATGAGACACTAAAGGAGGTAAGAAGTAGACTCTCTCTTGGACCCTTTAGAAGCACAACAATTTTATGAGATTTTGGACTTGTGATATTTTCCATGACAGCTTCAGCCCCATTATTCTCCCATCTTAGCAATCAACTCCATAACTTAGCCTCCAAGTCAGAATTCTGGGTGGTATCCTTGACCACAGAAATGGCCAACTCAGTAGTAGAGATGTCAAACATGGGGATTTGGTCTAACCTCAGGAGGGTTCAGAGCTGGAGACACTGCCATGTGCAACTCAGCATAAAAACATTGTTTCAAGTCCTGACTCAGAGTAGATGACCTTGGCAGATTGTTATAGAACAAAAAAGGAAAGCTCAAACCAAGTTTAAGTAACTTTACCATTGGAAATTGGGAAAAGGAAGAGGAACCAATAAATTAGAGCAAGAAGACCAGGCTATATACTGAGAAGAACATGGAGGTTAGGGTGAGAGAGGTTTATGAAACAATGAAAGTCAAGAGAATGGAGTGGTCCATCTAAGGTCATTAATGATGACAGCGAACTTGAATGCTTCCTCAGTGACAGCCACTATAGAGGTAGGAGGTTGACCTTTTGGCAGCTAGAGTTAATTAAGGATGGAATACACATTAGGGAAAGACAAGGAGCAAGCTGACAAGTGAAAGTTGGACACACAAACGCACAGGTCAGATGATAATGGTGCTAGCCATCATCCTTCTTGCCAGTCTTATAAAAACCATGTCCTATCGCATTATTGGACAGGTATTCAAACTGTTTGGAATGTTCTGGCCAACTTTCTGACTATATAAAGCCAGCTCAAGTGCCATCTACTCTGTAAAGCCCTAGCTAAGTCTATGTAAGTACTAGCCATTTCACCTTCCCCTCCCAAGCAAACCAAGTTTCTCCTCCTATTTATAGCACTTCAAACTGTCTGCCTTTGTTATCTCCCCCAGCACATTGTCCCTACTGGGTGCTCATTAGCTGTGTTAACCAAGTGTCACATTACAAGTATGAATGAGATGGTAATGGCCTGTCCGTTTTCCAATAATTGAAATTTTACTTGAGGAGAGGTAAAGTCCTCTGACTACTGAAGGTATATCTTCAATTACAGACTATTGAAAACTGTTCATGGGGAAGAGAAATGACTCAAATCAAAGCCTTGCCCTATGTGGATAACAAGTACTAAGAGCTTGATCTTGAAGTTTTTATGCATATAAAGGACTCATCCCCTTTTAACTCATGGAGATCAAACAGGAGCCACAAGTAGATGTGTTTGTATCACATGTCACATATTTAGTAGTGCTTTATGTGACTTATGGAAATTTTATATATTTGTAGTTTCATATAGCTGAGTCTATTATAAATATATATTTATATGCATAAACATATAAAATATATAAAATATATGAAGAGATATGAATTGGTTAAATAATCAGTAAACTTATTAGAGGGATTTCCAAGGGGCATGTGGTTCTTTCACTAAAATACATACTCATTAATGCAGTTCTCTTTCTGAGGCTTTGATTGAGTCATCAGACAAAACGGTGGAGAAGTAATGAAAACAACAAGATACCAGCCAATGTAGGATGCTGAACATAGTCCACAGAGTATTGAAGAGGGGGCAGATAGCCACAGACTACATCAAAAGACTCAAAGTTCACATAATAAGGAATTCAGTGGCCTGTTCCAAAACCATGAAGACATATAGAAAGTATGTTAAAAAAAAATCCAAATTTTCTACAAGGCTATTGAACATGTACCTTGTTGGTATCAGCAACGCTGTTCTGTCGGGCATCAAAGATGATAAGTTTATGTGACTGTGCATTAGCATCCATTATTGTCTGCAGGTATTTTTCATCTTCTTTGCAGCGTTTATCATTGGGACCCACCAGTGGTTGGCTGCAACGTGTAATTGTTGCCTGACTTTCTGGGTGAATCCATGACAACACCTAATATTTTTAAAACAACAAATAAAAAAATATCTGATGATAGATATCATTCATAAAACAACATATGATCTAATTAATTGGTAAGAAAAGTACAATCTCTCCTAAAGAATTTTCTCACAGCTCTGAGTAGGTAAGCTACTCATAGCACTGTAGTGGCCATGACACTTAATGTGTTGGTTATACTAAAAGAAATTTGACTTGACACTCTCTAAAAAAAAATCCCTTTCTGCCTTTGAAATTCTATTATTTTAAGTAAAATAAAAGTGAGGCCAAACTATTACTAAACTCTAGTCCCATTTCTATTTGGCTAGCTAGTTTCATATGTTTTTCTAATATAAAAAACATCCTCTGTATCTCTACAATAACATAAATAGCCCACTGAGGTCTTATATTTAAAAAAAAAAAACCTATAACTCTACCACCAGATCTCCCATTTGTCTTCAGTGGTCAAGTGACATGAGATTATTCTTATGTAAACTCAGAGCAAAAACCACCACTTCCTTCTGGGCATGCAGCTACAGCTACACAGCAGGAAGAAAGGATGTATTTTCTTCAGAGTGAATGGTGGGACCAATGAGGTAAACTGTAGTGCAACAGCATGTTCATTTTTGGTATTCCTCTATTATTCTTGGCTATATCAGGAGGGCAAAATTTAAGGTACCTTTGCATTTAGAGATAGGACATATACAAGAGTGAGACAGCAAATGAGTGTTTTTCTTAAGAATCAAAGATACAGTCAGATTTATTAGCTAATTTTCTACTTTCCATTTTGTTATTAGATACAGTACAGTGTCTGTTTCTATCTAAATAGAAATGTCTATTACTTACAGGGACTCTGCCTTTCGCTCGAAAGGCTGCCACTTTTGAAAGGTCATCATCTTTTACACTAGTTGGCACAACAATGATGGCAGGGTAGGTATCACAGAACTCAAAATTACTGTTTATTTTGGATATTTTCCAACTCTCATTTGGCAAGCCCTGTAGAGTGTTAGAGAAGGAAGAGGGGAAAATACTCATCTCTATTGTACAAACAAACAAAGAATGTATGAATCACATCTGTTCCTTATTTTAAATGAAAATTCATTTATAACTGGTTTATTGTTACTTAAATAATAATGCTTCACATAAAATATAATGGCAATTTGGATCCTAATTCATCAATTATTTATGAGATCTGTTAAAAAAAATAGAAGCAGATGGATTGATAATAGAGCACTTGCCTAGTATGTACATAATCCTGGGAGGGAGAGCGGGGAAGGAAAAATGAAAGAAGGCAGGTAAGAAGAAGACAGATAGGAAGGTAGAAAATACATGCATGAAAACAGCAGCAAGGCAGGCAGGCGAGCAAGAAGAAAGAAAGGAGGAAGAGGGAGGAAGGAAGAAGGAAGGAAAGGTGGGTTCTCAAAAATCTGAGTTGCAAACCCTTGTCCACACATCCTACTAATCCCTCTGGAAAATGATGGCTAAAGAGCAATGGAGTCAAAGATATATCGCAAAAGAGGGCACCCAGGGAATTGAGAAGCAACATGCTAGAAAAGCTAGGTCTATGTTACAGTTTGTCATACAGCTTCTACTCCCCTACTACATATCTAACCCAACTTTTTGTACAGAAAAAAACATTTAAACTATCATATTCCATATGACAAGTGACATACTCTACCTGTCTCTTATATTCAGATACTGGATCATAAACTTTCCAGCCATTAACTGGAAACTTTTCTTTATAGTTGAATGCAAATAACACCTGTACATAAAACCCATAAAATACATGTCAGCATTTGTGTTAGAACTCCTGTTTTAATCTGCAAATTTTAAAGTAGCAAATTAGAAGCTTTTCTTAATTATTACACAGAAAAGATAGAATCCAAATATTTGAATTTAGTTGCAACACAAAGAAATAAAGGTGACCTGTAAAAGAATGTGTAAATATGGAATTATTGGATACCCATAGATGCATGCAGTAAGGTTTACTTTGTTGTACTTGCCTGCCCATTAGAAAGAGGAAAAGCATGCTTGTTCAGGTTTTCAAATATTCCAAGTTTTCGTTGTTCTTCCTGCTTATATGCAAGTCTCAGGTTCCTCATATCCTAGTAAACAATGAGCACCTGTTAGCCAGATACCCTGTCATAAACACTTATTTATCCATCATTTTGTACCCTACAGTTCTCCAACTAACAAAAGACAAGTTAACAAAAATACTTACAATGAGATTTGAAAAATTAAGGAAATTGGAATAAAGAGGAGGTGTGTGTGTGGGGGGGGATGTCAACAGAATAAATAACTAAGAATAATACTGAAATGTAGCTCTTCATAGTTCATGGCTTCTGGCAGGGGATGAGGTAGGGAGGACTCAGTTTTCTTTAAGGGGTTAGCCACTGGAAGTTTGACCATGCTCCAATGAGTATATGATCAACACAAACTGGACTTCATGGGATGTTTTTGGTGGAGGAGGGAACAAGGATCGGAGGGTGGACCTGGGAGGAATGGTAAGTGGGTATGATAGGGGTACACTGTACAAAATTCACAAATAATCAGTAAAAATACTATGTCAGGGAAAAAAGAAATCCAAAAAAGAAGGAGGAGGAGGAGGAGGAGGAGGAGGAGGAGGAGGAGGAGGAGGAGGAGGAGGAGGAGGAGAAGAAGAAGAAGAAGAAGAAGAAGAAGAAGAAGAAGAAGAAGAAGAAGAAGAAGAAGAAGAAGGAGAAGAAGGAGAAGAAGGAGAAAAGGAAGAAGAAGAAGAAGAAGAAGAAGAAGAAGAAGAAGAAGAAGAAGAAGAAGAAGAAGAAGAAGAAGAAGAAGAAGAAGAAGGTTTACACACAAAAGATATGCCATTACACTCTGTGTACTTACTGGCCAAAGATATGCCATGGAATTTATTGTTCAGGTTAAGTTGCTGAGAGAGCCAACTACATAATTTACTTCATCCATGTAAAAGAAATGTTGCAGATTCTTCCCCCTATGTACTCACTGAAAGTAGTCTGTTCTATGTGGAGACTATAGTTCTCAGCAATGTCCTTGTAGCAATATAATGCTGTTTCTTAAGATCACTTTCTTAAAATGCCCTCCCTTGTCCCAGTGCCCTCCCTGATGGCCAAATGCCCAACCACAAGTTAGCAGGACTAGTGAATACATCAAGCCTAGCTCTTAATGGTGTGATTTCTCCCCATGACAGTGTTTTAAGTGTCGCCTCCCAACCTTTTAAATCTATGTTCCTGTCAAATAAACACAAAAAAATATCATTCTTCTTTACCATCAAAAGAAATTTGAAAATAAATATAATGACAAACAAAGAACAGCATCTTGGGAAGTAAAGTTATTGTGATATTGATAACCCAAATATCTATCAGTAGAGGCTGTAGCTGAATAATGTACAGGGCAGCTAAAGATCTGCTGAAAAGAAGCTTCAGCTCTATATGCACCAGTCAAAAGAAATTCCAAGATACACAGTCACAGGAAAAGAAAGGTGCAGAGCCATGTATACACTATCATTGTCCTCTTTTATTTAATTTTTAGACAAGGTCTCACTATACAACCTTGGCTGGCCTAGAGCTTGCTATGTAGACCAGGACAGCCATGAACTCACAGAAATTTGTCTGCCTCTGCCTCCTGAGTGCTGGTACTAAAGGTATGTGCCACCATGTGGCTCATTGTTTCTTTCAAAGAAATGTTTCCATGCACAAGGTATCTATGCAGTTATATTAGGCATTAGTAACTGTCTGCACAGAGTAGTAGAGTGGGAGAGAGACTTGATGTTTTACTATATACAGCTTTGGTACCTTTGAATTAGGAATCATCTTTAAAAAATAAAACACAGGCTAGAGACATGACCCAGTAGTTAATTAAGAGTGCTGGCTGTTCTTCCAGATATATCCAAGTTCAATTCCCAGCACCCACATGACAGCTCACAACCTTCTGTAACTCCACTTACAGAGGATCTGATCTGACACCCTTTTCTGGCCTGCAGGGGCACTAGGCAGATAGTCATGAAGTCAAAACACCTATACATATAAAAAATAATAAAATAAACCATGTGTGGTTATACATGCCTTTAATCCAAAGCAATTAGGAGGCTGAGGCAGGCAGAACTCTATGAGTTTGAGGCCAGCCTCTGTCTACATAGTTAGCACCAGGCCTTCCAAGGCTACACAGTTAAAAAACTAACTGTGAAAACAAAAACTAACAACAACAAAAAAACAAACAAACAAAAAGGAGATCCCAAACCTTGTGAGGTTCTCAGGCATGAGTTGGGAGCCTGTTCTTTGTAATTCCAGGCTATGAAGCATTTAAATCAGCTGTCAGCAAATACCCATGCCAGCCATAAAAATACCTTAGTAAAACAGCCACAGGAAACGTGCCAAAGTAGCATCGTTTTCTGACATGCTTGCTTCTCAAGTCACGTTGGCTGTGTACACACCCTGGTAACTAACTTGCTGTTTAGAAATGATTAGAGGGAAGGAAAATCATTCTAAGCCCTGCAAGAGCAGATACAATGAGTGTGGCATGTAGCTTAGTGGTAGAGCATGTGCTTAGAATATGAAAAGCCCTGGGCTCTGCCTACCTAGGAAAGAACTGAAAAGGGGAGGGATTGGGATTTGTTGACTCTGGTGCATGTGAGGAAATAGGCATGTAACAAATATGAGCATCAATATGAGCATCAATCCCAAGTTTAGAAGAGGTTTTGACAATTCTGTAGATAGGATAGTTTTTAGTAAACTGTGTTATAGAGGTAAAGTCACTAGGCATAAAAATCTATTCATTAAAGTTACCCCACACATTGCTATCTAACGTCTTGAAGGAAGTGAAAAGAAAAAAATGAGGATAGTTTAAGGTAAAAAGTTCCAACATAGTCAAGAATCTTTAATCACAAGATTTCTAGAAGAGACTGTCCCTTGGGTAAGTCTTTGACCATCTACCATGTTGAAAAGCACTTTTTAAAACAAGAAACTGTGAAAAAGGGCATTGAACTCTACTCTGCATTTGGTTTCTCTGAGATGAGACAAATGATGCCGCCCTTAGGCTGCAGGTTAATCAGAAACATTTCAGCTTTCAAAAAGGATTGCTTTGATGCCTTATACAGTGGTTTGCATTCACTGATATAAGATTTGAAGGAGTTGTTACCCTGAAAACAGTACAAATTCTTCCTATGCTACAAAGACCATAAGGGTCATGAGTCAGAAAAAGTTCAGAGTGGACTGCCTCATGCCAGTGTTCACTTGTGTCTGCAGCCTACCTTGCACACAATCTCTATACCACAAGAATTATCCCCGTGGCTCTGGGCGCCAATCTTCTCAACTCTGCTGATCACTCCAAGGGGAACATCAAGGATGAAATGGGGGTCCTATGTTTAAAAATTCAAGTCAATAAACAGGGTTTTCATGTTTTACATTCCTCCAGAGTTATAACATATGATTGTTTACTTTGAAATGCAGTTATCTTTGACCCAGATAAGAAGCTGACTTCTGAGAGATAGTATACCTTAGGAGGTCTATACCCAGACCACAGTGCACTTCCCCTCCAAATCTAAGTGCAACTTTAACAATTTTGATTGAGACCAAATGTCTGTTCAAATTCACTGTCATGTAGTGTCCCTGTGATGGGAATTCAGGGGACTGCTTACTTTCTTCTTTTACTGTTCACTAGATTTTAAAACCAAAGCATAATTATAAAAACTTACTCTTTCTACATTTTTGAAGTACATTTTAAAGTCCGTCACTGTCAGGGTTCCACTCACTGCTCCCATAAATGGGCAGATATACATGACATCTTTCACTGAAAGAAGAAAACCAAAGTAGCAATGACTCTTATAGACTTGTATTTCAGTAACTTCCAGTATGAGTTTCCAAATACATACACACGATCCAGTCTTGTAGGAATTTAAAACTTTAAAGAATTCTATCAGTTATTATTTTACATAATGACATAGATAGTTTTCTGATATAGTTCAACAAAACTCTCATTTGATATTTAATGAGGCTTTAAGTAAAAAAAAAAAACTTATAGTATGTTTATTTTTTCCTTTTTCCAGGAAAAAATATTTTCCCTAGTTAAAAGTTGATAATGCTCAAAATATCAATACTCTGAAGACAGTGGGCTCTTACTCTATAAATTGCTGCAACCTAAAACTAGTAAAAGCTAAACACTGTTTCTTTGAAGAGAAACTGCTTTGCAGCTGAAGAAAACTTGCAGATCATCAATGAAGTAAATAAAGACTTCTTTCTTGGGCTGAGAGTATAGCTCAGTGCCTGATACCCTAGGCTGGTTACCTGCCAGGAGGGCTGTTTAAAATTCCTTATCTGAATAGGTGAGACAGTTGATTGGCTTGATCTGTTTGGGAGGCATCCAGGCAGTGGGACCTGGTCCTGTGCTCAGTGCATGAGTTGGCTCTTTGAAACCTGGGGCTTATGCAGGGACGCTTGGCTCAGCCTTGGAGGAGGGGACTGGACCTGCTTGGACTGAGTCTACCAGGTTGATCTCAATCCTCGGGGGAGTCTTTGCCCTGGAGGAGATGGGAATGGGGGGTGGGCTGGGGGGAAGGGGAGGGGGGCGGGAGGGGGGCGAACAAGGGAATTTGTGGCTGATATGTAGAATTAAATTATATTGTAAAATAAAATAAAATAAAATTTAAAAAAACAAAAACAAAAAATATATTATGTTGATATTTAAATTCTGTACATAGCACTAAATTAAATTTGATTTTATGTCTATATTTAAATGAAATAAATCAAAATGAAGGTGTTATACTATTTCTATTTAAAAAAAAATTCCTTATCAGCCAGGCGTGGTAGTGCACACCTTTAATCTTTAGTAGTACTTGCACAGGCAGGAAGATCTCTGTGAGTTTCAGCCATCCTGATCTACATAGTGAGTTCCAGGACAGCCATAGTGAGACCATCTAAAAACAAAATTTCTGTATCAAAGTTAAGTTTCTGTTATCAATCAAATGTGCACAGCATATTTAATTCCTATGACTGTTAAAAGCCTTGCCTCTATCATAAAGATTGTGCATCTTTTTGGCTTTCCTAAAGTGTCATTCCTCTGCAATGTTTGAGTGACCAGAACATATATAGCTACAGACATAATTTATAATAGTAGGATGATTCAACCAACTGTCAAAGAATTTTCCTTATGTTTTATATAATTTAATATGTACTGAATGTCTTCTGTTGCTGGGGTTCTGGATATAATATAATTAGACAGGTCCCTATTGACAAACAGCAGGGGACCTGTGAGATTAGAAACAGAAAATCACCATTATACTTCAGCATGAGAAATGCTAATATAATGATGTGGACACAGAGTGAGGGACCTCAATTAAGAATCACCTTCACTCATTATGGAAACAGATAGGGGAGGAGAAGAAAAGGAGGGAGGAGAGAGTGGCAAATTGTTAGAAATTTGTTACTATGGCTGCATCAGAGAGTGCAGAGAGAGGTGGAGGATCATGAAGCCAGCCAGATATATTAGCAGGGAAATGTACTAATAAACACATCTGTTGAAAGTCAAGGCATCATTAGTATGCTATACTTAAAAGATAAAAATAAAAGCAATACCCTGTGGGGTTTGTAGCATATGTACAAGTAAAATGGATGATAAGAATAACAAAGGCTGGAGGGGACACATGAGAGTATGCACTTGTACAGTTCTTACCCTACACATAAAGAAGTACAGAACTGTGCAGGGTGTGGTATGATTGCACACACAGTCAAGCAGACACAGGTGGGTTTCTGTGAGTTCAAGGCCAGCCTAGTCAAAATAGAAAGTTCTAAGCCAGCCAGGACTACATAGTGAGACCCTGTCTCCAAAAAAAAAGCACAAAATGACTTGAAAATGTAATACATAAATCATGTAAAGCAACTAATAAAATAACAAAAAGAACTGTAGCAACTATACAGGCAGAGGAGATAAAATGCATTCTGAGAAAGTACTCAATTAATTAACGAGGATAGAGCTCAGTGGCAGGGTGCTTGCCTGACAAGCATTTAGGCTCTCAGGTCAGTCCTCAGCACTGTAACAAAGAAAGAAAGAAAGAAAAAAAGAGTACTCAATTAAACCAAAACATGACCAAAAAGACAAACAAGACAGCAAGAACTAAACGAGTCAAAAGAAAACAAATAATATGATGAATTTAAAATTCATTATATTAATATAACATGTTAATGACCCCAACATCTCAAATACAAAGCACAGACTGACATATCATGGACAAAAAAAAAGATCTTAACTATATGTAGCTCAAAATAACACGCTTTACATGAAAAATGAAAGACTAAAGAAAATATGGTACATACACACAATGGAACTCTAATATAAATAAGATGAAAATCATGATATTTAGAGGAAAATGAATGCAAATGGAGTGTGTTAAGCAAAATAAGCCAAATTCAGAAATAAAAACATTGCATGCTTCCTATCATATGCAGATCCTAAATTTTAGTGTGTGTGTGTGTGTGTGTGTGTGTGTACTTAAGTGTGTATGTGGACATGTCTATGGATATAGACCATGAAACTAGATGGGAAAATAAAAGGGTAGAAAGAGATATTGGTGGTTGAGAAGGGCTAAAGAGGGCAAGAATATATGTGACACGAAAGCAGAATGGGGCCTGTTGTCGGTAGAAAAGACAACCAACAGGAATGGGACTGGGGAACGGTAGAGCAGTGTGGGGAAAACGATCAATAACAACAAAGCATGGGGCTATAACTCTATTGGTAGGATGCTTGCCTAACCTGGATAAAGCCCTAGATTTGATCTCTATTACTGTATAAACCAGGTGTGGTGGTGTACACCTGTAGTCTCAGAACTCAAGAGGTTGAGGTCGAAGAATTAGGAGTTCAAGACCAGCTGTATTTACATAGTGAGTTTGAGGCTGGCTTGGGTTACATAAGACTCTGTCTCAGAAAACTAAATATGTATGAAAACACCATAATGAAACCTATTATTCTGTATGCTAATGTACAAAGCTAAAAAAAGACATGAATATTTGGAAATTGAAAATAGGTATATCAAGTTAATGTGAACTTAGAAAAAGCTACAATAATATGAAACAATGAATTTTTTTGGAGCAAAGAGTATTACCAGGAATAAAGAAGGTAATTTTCTACTAACCACAGGGTCAACTCATCAGAAGGACATAATAACATAAACATTTATGTACCTAGAAATGTAGTGGGTAGCCATTCCAGCTTTGATCTGGAAGTTCCAACCCCCATTGAGGCTTCGGTAACTGTCACACATACAAGGCGGGGCCAAGAGAGGACCCTGAAGACCCGAGATCCAGATGCGCCGGCTCTCTTGGTTCCTGGACCCTGGACGCTGGAGGTAGACCGAACAGAGTTCTCCAGAGAACACTGCTGGACTGTGCTACGCCTTTCCCAGACTCTGTAAACTATCCATTCACTTGTAAGTTACCCCACAAAATAAACCTCCCTTTTAACTATGTGGAGTGACCTTAATAATTTCCCCAATATAGAACTTCAAAACAGAGACGTAAAAGTGATTGCTCTGCAATGAGACACAGATATTCACAATAAAGGAGATAAGTGCAGGCTGAGTAAAGACACAGAGGGTCAAATGACACCAACGAATTCAACCTAATTGACATCTATAGTACACTCCAATCAATAACAGCACAACCCATGTTCAACAATATAGAGAACACTCAAAAGACCATTTTTAGAGCCATAATACAACTCTTGAGATATATTCAAATCATATTTATGTTTCCTGAACAGAAATGGAATGAATTTAGAAATCAACAACAGAACAGTGTTCCAAGAATTTATAAATATGCAGAAATTAAACAACACTATTCATTTTGGTGGTGGTGGTGCTTTGTGTTTGTTTATTTGTTTGTTTTTTTTCAGACAGGATATCATCTAGCATGTGCTGACCTCACACTATGTAATTGCAGAAGAATTTGGACTCCTGATCCTTCTGCCTCTACTCCCAAATGCTGGGATAAACAACATACGCTTAAATAATCCAAGAGTCAAAGAAAAAAGTCAAAAGCATTGGATGTCATAAAAATGAAAATAAAAACCATAATTGATGAGGTGGAAAGCAGTGATTAGAGGAAAATCCAAACACCCAAACTAGAAGAGAGCAAAGATCTCAAATCAATGACAGCAGTTGCCCACTTATGCAAAGAGGGAAAGAAGAGAGAATGGAACATGAAGGAAGCAGATGATAGGAAGCAATAACAATCAGATTGTAAATAAATGAAACAGAAAACGAACACAATAATGAAACCAAAAGCTAATTCTTTGAGAATTACCAACACAATTGGTAAACATCCCACCCCCCTGGAGCCAATTGTAGGACAGGTGTAAGGACCATATTACCACCAACTATACAGATACTAAGGAAGTGTAGTAAGTAACATTTTGACAATAATTTCACAGCTACCATTAAATGGGAGAATTCTGGAAAGATGTAAACTATCAATGCAAAAGCAGCAGAAAAACCCAAATAGCCACCAACACATGAATGCACCCTTATAATGAAGTAGTATTCAGCAATAAAAAGGAATGATTGTCAACTGATGTCACAATGTGGTTGAATATGGAAACAATTATTTGATTGAAGAAAGATAAACAACAACAACAAAAAAACCCTACAATTTCACTTATGGAAAGTACTAGAAAATATAAACTAGTCTACAGTTTTGGGGGATAGAGGAATGGACAGAAGAGATGAAAAGCGGATGGCATAAGAAAACTACTGGTGGGGGTAGATATATTCCTTACCATAAGAGTGACAATGGCTTCCCAAGTGCATACCATGTCAAAACTCATCCTGTTCTAAAATACTACTCAATAGAGAGTATTTTACTTTAATAATTTGCCTCCAGGAACATATTTGATTTAATAGTAAGGCTTAATTTACTTACCCTCTGCAAGCCACTGGAGGAATTTAAAGCACACTTATATAACTTAAGGATGTGCAGCTGTCCCTAACATGTACCTGTAAGATATTTCCAATAACTGGGAGAGGTGTAGGGCTATGTGAGAGCCTCTATCTCCCAAAACTCCATTTCCAGAGTAAAAAAGAGACACAAACAGGAGGGAATGAGGCTCTGGTAAGACAGCCCAACCATTCAAACAGTCCTAATATGAGATGACTATATTGAGACTGAATGCCCATGTTGGGAGAGAGCAATGACAGAATAAGCAAATAGTTCAGAAAAGTCCACTTTCCAACCCAGCCAACTGAGATGTATCCAGATGCCCCTCCTACACACCATCTCTTGAGATGCATGGCAATTTATCATGGGAGGTATTGTAACCCTCATGTCATTTCCTTTATAAGCTAGGATGGCAGTACATGCCATTTTCTTCCAATAAAATTATACTTTCAATAATCACAGAAGCCAAAAAAATTATTTGTGAAGCTTTCAAAACTATTACTATGATATGCTATTGAGGTCTTCTACTGATAAATTACTTTATGGTAAAACAGTCAATCAAAGTAGCAAGCCAGCATTACACTGGGTGCCTAATCAGCTCTCATTTCATGGAAACAGGTAGGCTTCTCTTCTTTTGGTAAACATTCAGCTGTCACTTACCTGGATCCTCTACATTATTCTATCTCTTATGGTCAGGCTGATGCCAATAAGAATAAAGAGACCTAGTCCCCTACTCCCTTTCCCCCTAATTAAATCAGTCTAGCTGCCCTTCAACATAAACATCACTTATGCTTTCAAAGTACCACTTCATTTTATAGATTCCTATAAGCAAACCATATACATTAAACTTACCAATGGCCTTAATTGATTCTCCTGGAAAAAGTGGAGCTTCTTCCATCTGTGCCAGTTTATTTCCATCTCTTAGAGCCTGGCAAGAAACCAAACAGGAATAAATCTAACTTTCCATCTGTATATTGAGAAGAATGATGGAATTCTGGGATCTCTTGATAAGGCTATAGAAGCATGCAAAAATGTATGTCCCCTCCCCCTTTAACATTTTAAAAGCTCAGCACTACAGGAGATCGTGCTGCATATTCTAGCAAATTGTTACAACATATTTACAATTAACAGTTAGAAAGCATTAATACAGAAATAGCTTGACGGGACAGATAGATACTGTAATCACTACACAGATAGCTATTGTAAGGTGACATTAAATTTGGAAATAAGGTCAGAAAAAATGTTATCTTCTGACCATGAGACTAATGCCAATAAAAACACTAGAGGTGAGGTACTTAGCCAAAGTAGAAATTATCCAGCCTATGAAACAGTTTGAGAAACCCTAAGGCAGAATAAAATAATCAGAGAATGGTCTCAGAACAGTGCACAACTAAGGAAAGCCCTAAGCTTTCTTTCTCACTGAGGTTCAGCTACTTGCAAGCATGTACATGTATGCATGTGCATGTGTATATATGTGTGTGTATATATGTGAGTGAGTATGTGTGTGTGTGTGTGTGTGTGTGTGTGTGTGTGTGTTTGTGTGTGTGTATGTGTGTGTGCGTGTCAGGGAGCATAAAGAATGGGAATGTCACTGTTTATTTACTCTAGGCTATGAGATTACATTGGCAGATAAGAATACAAGTTGAAAATCTGTAATGTGAATATGCCAAATAGTAAATGCTTCAAAATATGAAACCTTTTGATAGCCAAAATAATGCCATAAGTAGAAAATCCCACATCAGACCTTATGTGACAGGTTGCAATCAAAATATACATATACTAAAAAGTATTGTATAAATTTTCCTTCAGTCTATGTGTGTAAATGTAGTAGACACACAAAATTTGTGTTTAGATTTGGGTCTCATCCAATACTCCAAAACAGGAAAAATTCCAAAATTTGAAACACTTGTCCCAAACATTTGAGATAAAGAATACTCAACATGTATTGCAGTGTATACTGTAGGACAGGGCCAATTCATTTTTAAAACTGTATTGCAGTGTATACTGTAAGACAAGGCCAATTCATTTCTAAAACTAATTTCACATTCTTCAAGAAAACTGCTAATGAGTTACAAGGTTCATTGGCTACAGTGATGCTGAAAGAAGGATAGCTGGGTAGTTCATGCCCATATTTCTACTATCAGGCTGACATTGTGACTTGGGAGTCAGCTTCTTGTAAGCTTCATTGTATGGTGCCAGACAACTCAGGGGAGCAGAAAATGGAGTTCGTGAACTACAAAGCTAGGACTGGAGCCTAAACTTGGGGCCCATTCCAAGGTACTGCCACCCTGTGAGTTGCTACCAAGGAAACCAGTCATTTTCTCCTTGGCATATCTGACACAATGTGTCATGAATAAGAATAAGGTGATCAAAACCCTAGCAATGACCAAGCTGTATTTCATTGAACATTAATTTCCCAAGAGATGTAAACAGGTTTAAAAAAACAAAAAACAAACAAGCAAACAAAACAGGGAAATGCTGTGTTAAACAAGGCTTTTGAAAAAAGTGAGCTAGGCTTTAGTGTGTTAATGAACACCAAACCAGCAAGAGGGCGCAAGAGTACAACACATGCCTCATATCTCCTCAATCAGGGAGGGCGTTTCCAGAAATAACTTGTTAACACTTGTGAGGGTATTAACATGCATCAGAAAACAGGGTGGGCAATGCTGATCAAGGACATGGTGTGAAGTCTCTTCCACCCAGGGGGTAGAAGATTACATTGTCCATCCTTTCCTTATCAAAAAGTGTACTGTTAAAATCTTATATACATTAAGGTTCATCATTACATTCAAACAATGTATTCAACTAGAAATTTAGTACAGATTGGTTAAGGCATTTTTCAGCCAAAAATTTCTATAAAATTTTGATTTTATAGTGATATAGATCAAACCTAGGATACTGTATATGCTAAGCAGGTATTCTATCACTAAGTCACACTCCCATCTTAACATTACTTTTAAGACTTTCATATAAACTTGACTTTCTTTTTCTACTTAATGGCCACCTTAAGCATTTCATTATACTTGTTTTGGTCCCTGAGTATCAAAACCAAGGCCTTAAGTGTGTTCAGCAACTGAACTCTGCCCTCAGCCCCATTTATACATTCATTTTTACTTATATCTGATTTGGGAATAAACCTTTTGTGCAACAAAGCATAAACCAATATTTATACCTTTAAACATTTGGTTTTATAAATACTTAAATACCAACAATCTTAATAGAAGCATTAATCTGAAGGTGTGCTTAATTTACTATCTTAAGTACTGACTAATTTTATGGCATAATTACATGGCATAATTACCAAGTGAAAAAGCTACTTTAATCAATGTCAGAGCTGTAAATTACTTCAAACATTACATTGTTAAAGCTTACTTTAATGGGCAAATATTATACTATAAAACTGAGATTCTATAATTTATATTTAAAAATAACTGAGGATAAATTATTTTGGAATCTATTTATGAAAGCAAGCTTCTCTAAACACTAGAATCTGGAGGGAATTTTGGAAGAGAAGACGTCCATTCAGCTTTAGAGCAAGCCATATCAAATATTTTCAAAACTTCAAGGCTGGGATAGTCAATGAAATCCTACCAGAACGCACAAGGCTCTCAGGATAAAGAGTAAGGAACAACTGGTTCTCTTCTTGTCCCATATTAATAGTCAAATATGACTGGAAACATCTGTGCATTTTTGTGAGGCATGAATGTGTTGGTGAACACAGTGAGATAAAACTTGCACTAATGATCATTAAATATTGGGACATGTTTTTAAATGATGAAAAAGCATCTATTAGAATAAAAAAGAAATGGCCCCAATGCTTCAGATTCTTCCATAAGAGAAAGGAATACATTTAGCTTTAACATAGGAAGTCAAGAGACAATAGAAGGCTCATTTTTGGTGAGTACAGTAGATTCCCTTTATGAAGCTGTGTTAGGAGATGGGACTCACATTTGTGCTATATTAAGCGTTTACTGCAACTATCAGGTTGCACAGGGCATGATCTGACCCTTGATTTATCTAACCTATGTTCAGATGTTCAGCACAACTGAAAGATGAAATAATTTAATCTCATAAACACACTCATTGCTCTTGGTGCCTCTATTCACAATGTTGCTCAGCTGAGCAATTCCCTAGGAGCTCATCTCAACCTTGGTGCTTTGATCCTGAATGTTTAACTGAAATCTACAACCTCCTGACTTTGTCACTGAGGGATCCAAACCACCCAGATGACTCTGGCCTCTTCACTGTTTTTCATGAGTGTGACTCTAAACTACCAAGTGGACAGATTATATAACCAGCTGCATGCCCAAAGCAGTGATTTTCTAATTGTGTCCTAAAAGATGCTTCTGGAGTCAATGAAGGAGGATGGTTCTGGGCAGGTGATGGAGGACAAAAGCAAGGCTGAGCACTTGGGGCTTGCCAAGCATCCCCAGCACTGCTCTTATACACAATTCTATTAAGTTTCTATATCAGTAGCAGGAAAAGCACTACTGCTTCATGAATCTGGAGAACTAGTGGAAGTATGAAGGAAACAGTAGGATTCTGTATTCTGATTAATAAAAACAAAATACATATGCTCATTCCACAAATACAAAATACAAGGTGCTATGTTAGGCATGAATTATGTAACTTTAAATTTTATTTTATGTGTATGTGTGTTCTGCCTATATGTGCACCACATGGCCAGAAGAGGACATTGGGTCACCTAGAACTGGAGCTATAGATACTTGTGAGCTGTCATGTGGGTGCAGGGAATTGGAAGAGCAGCCACTGCTTTTAACCTCAAGCCCCACTATGCAACTTTGAATATCAAAAAGTCCACACCCTTATAAAGAACCTGTGGCATTTGTGTTTACCCATCTAGGTCCTCGCTAAAAGCACTTACACTTACAGTGGTGGCAGTCATGTAGCCCTATCTTGGGAAATCAAGAAATGTGAATGAACCAATTTCTAGTTGACAAAATGTTGGATAAACCAATTCTTCCAAATAATGTCATAATGGAATCTACCAAATATAGACAGGAGAGCACCATTATAGTGGTAAAACTGGAAAGCTTTGCTTATTGCCGAGATATCTAGTATGAAATGGCTTCTAGATATACAGATGAACATGTAGAACTTGCCACCTGATCAGCTTCAGCTTCAGAAGGGTAGCCATTGTGTTCTTCCTCTATCTCCTGCACAGCACCAGGTGCATGGACAAGAAAAGGCAGAGAAGAGAAAGAGAAACACGTGCAAACATACAGGTGAAAGGACAGAATTTCTTTTTTAAGAGACAGTAACCATGTAAAAGTTGACACACCTTTTATGGCTTTGCAAATCACCACACTTGCCCCTTTGAGTTAAGGAAAAAATGTGTGAACCATCTGTAGCATCCTCAGCCTAAAGTGTAGTGTCTGTTTTCTGTGTTTGTGTTGGGGTAGAAAAATAAAAAGCAACAAAACATCATGGATTTCAAACAATGCACTGCCTTTATAAAACTAAGCAACATCATAGCAAATAGCAAAGAATATAACAGGCACATCATGTGTTCATAGAAAATAAAGCACACCACAGAAACCACATAAAGGGCAAAGTCAAGCCAAAATACAAAGGCAGTTCATACATAGGTATGTTAGACAGAGTAAGTATTTGCATATTCTAAAGGAGTAATGTATTACCCGGGGTAAATTTCATTGCATCCGTGCACATAACACATGCTCAAGATTTTATATATAATATACACATATACATATATACGTATGTGTATTATTTATTACTTATTACTAATTAAATACTGTGACTGATAATCAATATCACATTAATATTTCTAACTACAATATCAAAGGTATGCTTAAAAAAACTTAAATGCCACATATTCTTCATTTTATTCTGTTTAAAGGTATGCTTTTCTTAATTTCTTCATAAAATCAATTCTCTTTTGAAAGTTTAAAAACTGTACTATTGACTCAATAGGTGGTAGAAAGAACATGATTGCTTAACACGAAAGGATTATAATCCTCTTTTAAAGTGGTATCAAATTTCTAATAGTGAAAATATTAAAATTTAATAGTTTTACTTTATGAAACTGGTTCAAATGGCTATATTTATTAAGGCAACAGAAGAAGTATCAAATTTTGAAATAATTTATTACTTCACACATTTACAATTTGGTCAATAAATTTCAGTAATTACAGAACACATTTTTATACTCAGAATTATGGCAATGTAGATTTTAAATGCAGCCTGTTTTGTTGAAATATCTAAATTTTTACATACAAAGACAACAGAATCATTCTGTGATTTTTTAAATGTTAAAAAAGAAAAATTAATGGATATTCAAAAAAATTCATACAGTATTTCAAAGTCCATGCAAATACAAAGCCAAACACTAATATTTAACTGTGTGAATCAATGAAAGAAAACGAGTCTCACAAGCCAAAGAAAATAAGGTAAGATGGTAAACCAACTAGTATAGTAAGAATTTTACTTAACCTGGTTATTTCTGTACAACTTCACTGGCTTCAGTAAGATTACAAATTTCAAATTGAAGTAATTAAATCATACTATGAAAATCCAGATTGTTTCCATTTAATGAAAATAGGTTAATTTTTCATGGCTGACACTAGGCGTTAAATGCATGCAAATTATCAATCTTTGTCTTGCTTTATGAATATTCTGAAATAGAGGGAAGGAAAATCATGAGAGAAACATAAGCTACAATTCAGTATATCTGTATTTTTAAAAATACTGATATTTGTAAATCTTGCTTCAAGATTAACACTTAAACTTTTTTTTTGATTGAACATGCAAACATAAGCATGACTTAAAATCTTAGATTGGATGGACAACAAATGATCACTTTTTTGTTTGCTAAGTTCCTTAGCATGAATCACACAACAAGCGTGCGTGCGTGTGTGTGTGTGTGTGTGTGTGTGTGTGTGTGTGTGTGTGTGTGTGTAAAACAATAATAATCAAAGAAAAAGAGTTTCTATCAACTCCAAAAGAGTGGGGGGACATAGGAGAAGTTCAAAGGATGATAGTTGCGAAGGGATGGAGGAAGGAAAGTGACATAATTCTGTTTCAATTAAAAGTATATTTTTTTAAAACAGGCCCACATAGACCTAGACATATAACACCAGCCATGACCATCCATTGGGTCAGAATTCATGTGGTATGAAGAAAGCCAGTACAGCAAACTGGTAACAATTTTTGCATCCTGCCTTCACACACATAGGTTTTTACTGCACACTTAAAAAACTGCAGCAAACAAAGCATTTCCAGTGAACATTTAAAGCTATGACACAGCAGAACAAATTGATCAGAGTGACTCATAAAAACCAGTGAGAAGGTAAAGAACACTAAACAGACCAAGTGTTCCATAAAGCACAGACATGTATAAGTAGGAGGCCCATCTGCCAAAAGCCAAATATCCTTACCCTGGTATCAGGCCGCCTGAAAACCTGTTAGTTAAAATAGAGAACATCATCATCGTGGAAATATTCTTATTGACCTGTGAAAGATGCCGTTAGATTCAACAGCCTAGTCCCTAAGACATATTTTAATCCTCTACAACATATTTACTCTCAAAGTTTCATTCAATAGTAAGTCAATCCTAAAACATTTGTCCTGGGATTTTCAGGGAAGTATCTAATTTGGAGAAATGTATCTCCCTCACTGTTTTAAACACAAATCTTTTCCAGCAAGTGTTTTCACAGGTTATTGTGAACAGGCTGCATTTCAAAAGTAAATGTTGTTCCTGTCTAGAAAACTGAAGCTATTTTCCATATAGAAGCAATGATATAAAAAGGGAGTCAGGCTCTTAGACAAGCCCTCAAAACCAGAAAACCCCAAACTGGATCCAGAACATGGTTTAGCTATATATGAACTCAGTATCCTAACAGTGAGATAATCACACACCTTAATCTGATTTCTATTTAAATTTCAAATTTTGACTGGGACTCTAGGATTCAACTCTCTGATTTGGTTACCCCACTAGAAGCAGGGGTGCCCTCTCTGATGGACATGGCAGCAAAGAGGAAGTTCAAGGGAGGAAGAGGTAGTGCATGTCCCTGAAAAAGAGGTGAAATCCTGCTTTATTTAACTGAAAGACACTGACTTCAGCAGTATTATTCCTGTGCCTGTGGCCTGTGAATCCTAACTAAACATGCAGCCTGTGTGTGGGAAAGCTCTAGCCAAAAGAAACAACACACATGGACAGAACCTTAGAAAAACAAACAGTTGTAACGGTCTTCAGTAGTAGTTCAATGTTTCTGTACCCTGTTGCAAAGTCTCCAGTGCTAGTATCTAACCACTAGATGTTGAATGAGAAACATGTCATCAAAAAGAAAAATTGCCAGGTTATTAGCTTTATGGATTTACTAAAGAGAGAGAAGAACACCTGAATGGGAATACAGGCTACAGAAGCTATTCCCATGTCAACACCACACACTCTGGCTGTAAAACATAAAAAATCATTCTCAAACTCTCAGAAAACTTACTTCCTTAGTGCCAGAAGGTGCTAAGCAGGCTGATGATGTAGGGAGAAAAGACATCAAATTACCCAGTGCTGGACCCAGCATACTAAAGTATCAAGTTACTTAAAAGGATATGCTCACTAGTGCAATAGTGGCATGACTGTTATGGAGTAACTGAATGTTTTCTGATTAGATTTGAGGTCTGCTCCACAGGAGGGAATTTCATTCCTGGTTCTGGAATCCTAGTCAAAATCCCATGATCCCATGGCTGGTAAGTTTATAGGCCCTAATGTAGAACTTGCTATTATTCTTTTCCTAAGTGGTCATGCTAACAAATTGCCTTCTAAGTATTATATTTATACCCATAGACCTATTCTGCTCTCAACCTTAGAGAAGCTTCTGTTTGCAGTGAACAATAGTCAATAGAAAGATATGTAACTGATCAAAGTGCTGAGAATAAGATACTGAGTGCTTGGCCCTGAATAGGACATCTATTTCTACCATACCCTTTTCTGCCACCAAGGCTCAGAGAACACTGTGAGGAAGAGGTGGAAAGAATGTAAGAGGTTGAGAGGGTGAAAAGAGTGCTGTTAAATGCTGTGTTATGGACATGACATGGCTATCACAGTTACCTGCACATGACTTATACAAGGTAAAGCCAATTAAAATACTGCCATGGATACTGCCAGGTCCCACACCAAACTGGCAGAGAGATTAACGTAGATAGTTGCTGAGGGAGGGAGAATCATTTTTCATTGAGGATATTACCACTGTAAGTATCCTATGCTCCAGTGGATGACCCCACAACCATGTATCTATGAGCACCTTTACCCCATAGTAAGTTATCAAAAAAAAAGACATGTGGTTGGGAGTACATGGGGAAGAGCTGGAGAAGGGAGATAGAAGCAGATGTGATCATATGCCATTTTATACATTGGAATTCTCAAAAACAAAGAAAAGATTAACAAGAAAGAAAATTTTTGCAGTTAAAAAGGTGTTCTAAATTAACTGATGAAATTCTTCAAAATGAATTAAAGCCCCTAAGTTCCTAAGCAGAGACTTTTTGGGTTAAGAAGCTTAAAAAAAATCTGGCTTTTGGAGGGATGCATTCAAATATCAAAGTTTATTACGTTATATACTTTAAATATGTAAAGTTTATCACTTCTTAACTGTACCTCAACAAAGTTAGCAGAAAGTAAATAAAAGGAATATGAGGCTTTTGGTAATAAAAGCCTCAAAACTGAAAGGCTCCCCACCTAGAGCTTCATTCAGGACCACCCCACTTGAGTAGGCATATTTCTAATTCTTCTAACCATTATCTCCATCACTATCACTGACTTTGCCTTACTTCCTGATAACAGCACTTTAAAACAGTGTTTATTGATCTCTCCTTTCAGATGAGAAAATAAACTTTCTCAAGCTACTACCTCCCTCTTCCCAGTCTCTATGGGTCTAAAGTTCATGTTATTTCTTCCAGTGTTTTCCTTCAGCAGGAGTTCTGTCATAAAGACACTTGAGTCTTTTATGTTCAAGCCACTTCTCTGAACACCTGATAAATATTAACTGTTTTTATTTTTAGGCTAGCTGAGAGATAATAACTATTCCTTACCCCAGTTCTTTGATGAGAAAAGAAAGGCACAGTTAAGAAAACTGGCCAAAAAAATTTAAAAAGTCAATGAAGTGATTCCTAATGATATTCTGCTATACTTGTAGACTGGAGCCTGAGAGGCTTGATCCAGCAACTGATGGGAGCAGATGCAGAGACCAACAGCCAAACATTAAGCAGAGCTTGGTAAACTATAGAGGGTAAGAAGGATTGTAGAAGCCAGTGGGGTCAAGATACTATGAGAACATGGCCCACAGAATCAACTATGCAGGGTTCACAAAAGGCTCACAGAGACTGAAGCAACAATCAGGGAGCCTGCATGGGTCTGACCTAGGTCCTCTGCATATATGTTACAGTTGAGTAGCATGGTGTTTTTGTGTGACTCCTAACAGTGGAAGCAGGGGCTCTCTCTGACAGTCTTGTTGGCTTTGGGGAATCTTTTCATCCTACTGGGTTGCTTCATCTAGCCTTAATATGGGGGTTTGTGCCTAGTCTTAGTATAACTAGTTATGCTGTATTAAGTTGATATCCCTGAGAAGCCTGCCCTTTTCGGAAAGGAAACAGAGGAGGGGTGGTGTGGTGATATTTTATCTGTGTACCTAAATAAAGCTTATCTGAGGATCATAGGAAAAAGACAGCCACTACATTAAACATAGATGTCAGGCAATGGTAGCACATGCCTTTTACCCTTGCCCCTGAAAATATACAAAGAGGAGATTATATTAAATATTTAGGATATAAAATAGGTTTACAAAAAATTAGATCAAAAAAGGTGCAAAATAGGAGACATCAATTACGGACTCTTAATGACTTTCAAAGATTATTTAGAGACATTTCCCATCTTCAAACTGTTGTTAGGGTAAAAAATTATGAACGGAGTAATTAGTTCAAAACCATAGAGAGTTACAGGGACTTAAATAGTCTAAGAGAATTATCAGTAGAAGCTGAGAGAGAACTGGCTTTAGTGGAAAAGAAAATACAGGATGCACATATGGATCGTGTGGATCCAAAGCTTGATTGCATTTTGTTTATTTTACCCTCTAAGCATTCTCCTACAGGAATTTTAATGCGGAGGGAAGATATTATGTTGCAATGGATATTTCTACCAAATAAACAGAGTAAAAAATTAAAAACTTATGTGGAAAAGATTTCTGACTTGATTTTAAAAAGAAAATTGAGACTCCATCAATTAGCAGGAATAGACCCAGAAGAAATTGTCATACTTTTAAGTAAGAATGAAATTGACAAATTATGGGCAGAAAGTGAACCTTGGCAAAGAGCTTGCAATATTTTTTTGGAGAGATTAACAGCAAATATCCCAAAAGTGATAGAATTCAACTTATAAAGAGAGTTGATTTGATCCTCCCTCGCATTGTATGGGAAACTGCAATATCTGGAGCCCCTACATTTTATACAGATGCAAACAAACAAGGAAAGGCAGGTTATAAATCAGACAATTTAAGTAAAGTGGTTCAAAGTCCTTATAATTCAGTTCAAAATCAGAATTGTATGCTATTCTGATGGTATTAATAGATTTTTCAGAACTTAATATAGTTACTGACTCTCAGTGTGCTGAAAGAGTGGTCTGATATATTGAGACTGCAGAATTTATTCCTGATGAGTCAGAATTAACTTTGTTATTTATTCAGTTACAAGATATAATCAGGAATAGAAAGCATCCCTTATATATAACTCACATCTGATTCCATAGGGTCTGCCAGGACCTCTAGCACAAGGTAATGATGAGACAGATAAATTATTAATAGGAAATGTGCTGGAGGCCTCAGAATTTCATAAAAATAAATCATATCAATAGTAAAGGTTTAAAAAAGAATTTTTCTATAACCTGTCTGCTGTGGGATGTTCTGTATGGCAAATGTGTTGCTGATTAGTAAATAAATAAAACACTGATTGGCCATTGGCTAGGCAGGAAGTGTAGGCGGGACAAGGAGGAGAATAAAGCTGGGAAGTGGAAGGCTGAGTCAGAGAGACACTGCCAGCTGCCACGATGACAAACAGCATGGAAGATGCCGGTAAGCCACGAGCCACGTGGCAAGGTATAGATTTATAGAAATGGATTAATTTAAGCTTTAAGAACAGTTAGCAAGAAACCTGCCACGGCCATACAGTTTGTAACCAATGTAAGTCTCTGTGTTTACTTGGTCGAGTCTGAGTGGCTGTGGGACTGGCAGGTGAGAGAGATTTGTCCTGACTGTGGGCCAGGCAGGAAAACTCTAGCAACAAATGGCGTCCAACGTGGTGGCAAGAGTTTCCACCTAAAAACCTGAGAAAAGAGTCTAAAACGGACCTAAAAACATCTTCCTAATTGTCTCTCTCAAATGAGTGGCAGCTGCCGGTTTGAGCTATTTGTGGGTTCCTA